AAGAATACGATACGAACGAAGCTGCCCAGAGAGAACAAAATCCCCAGACCCAACCTACCACCGCACTGCCAACGGCAACATCTAACAAAGAGGCAATGGGTCATTGCAGCCTCGGCACGACAAGCGGCATTGCGTATACCTCCCACGCGTGACACGCCGACCACGGGGTAGTCATGAGCATAAGCAAGCGGAACACAACTTCTGGATTCGAGAGGAAGTGCGAGGAAGAATTCTTCCAACAATTCATCGCAACAGCAAACCAAACAGAACGCCTCGCAAACTACGTCCTACGTCAAGCCTGGCAGGTCTACGCATGACAAAATGACCAAATCGGCATTAGCATCCTGGTGCTCCCCGCCATTGGTCCACTGAACCACTCAGGTCTCGAAGAACGCTTTGTGGAGCTTCCTGGTGCATTCGACCAAGATTGCATCGGGAAGGACCTCAGCATAAAATGATGAGCAAGCACGTTGCATGCAATGAGAGATGGTGATCACAGACGCTATCGTCGTCGGCGGACTGCCCACTCGAACGGGTCGATCATGTGCGCGCCCACTGCCAGCCAGGCCTTGACAGCTACACCGTTGCTCACTTGGTGGGGAACGCGCCGGTACCCACATAGACTTTCACAAACACGCACTGATCGGACACGCAGCGCGTCTGACGGCGTGGAGTTCTTGCGATCCCGCAGGCGAGGGCAGACCGCGTCGACCGTGGCTTCTGACGCCGCGTGAACAACCCAACCTTGAACGAACAGCACTTTCGCACAGGTTGCAACAGACATCCCAGGCCATCGAATCAAGAGTTGGCCCGCCCCGACTCTCGGTGCCAAACTCCCGCCAGACATCCCTCGGGCTATAAGCCAATCGGGACGCTTCGCCACTGCTTGAGGTCTGCACTCCAGGGCGCTATCCCGTGAAGCCGAGGGGCCCGGCCCGCGAGGCCGTGGACAAGGACGTGTTCCGCGCGGGCCTGCGTTCTGCTCGCCGGCCCTGCTCACGAGGGCGAAGGCGGGGAGCCCGAGGGTGTTTACCAGCCTCGAACTTATCCCCATCCCCAAGATTGACACGCCAAAAAGCGATGACAATCTTAGGGATGCGCCCTCAAAAAATAAGGCAATCCCTAAGATTGGCATCGTGATGAGGAGATGCCCAGCATAGGGATAGGGATATGCTCCAGGCTGGTAAGGTGTGGCCCCCACCCGAGGCCCCAGGCCCAGCCGAATTCGGCGCGCTCCCCCGAATCGCCGACCGCGGCCTCCCCTGCGTGATCTCCTTGGCCGGAATCTCGGCCAGCGCGTTATGATGTGCCTCCAGCCCGCGAAGGAGGACGGAGGGGAAGGGGGCGGAGAAGGAGGAGGAGGGGGAGGGGGTCCCCACACCCAGCCCGCGCCAGGTGGGCCCAGAGGACAGGACGGAGGCCGGGCGGGGCCGCCGCCCGGCGCGCAGGAGGTCGGCGCCGTCGAGGGAGAAAAACTGGGCGCACGCCAACACTCCCAATTGGAGCGGCGGGATTTGGGCAATTTCTGGCCTCCTGGGGCCTTCGCCGGGCCTGGGGACCGTCCAAGAATCACCCAGGACGAATGCATCGAGAAAAGTGGAGCAGCCCGATCTCTGGGTTAAGACGAAAGCAGGACGAGGATACATCCGGGTGAAGGAAGATCGAAAATCTCTGAGATCTGGCGGCTCTGGAGAATGTCTCGGGCGCCGCGGCCTTGTCCGAGCGTTCAGGAACGCTCTGAGAGCGCTCCAGAACGCTCTGGAACGGACTTTTTTCCTCGTCCCCGACTGACCCGAATGGATTAGGGATCCGTGGATCTGGCGCGTGGGCGCCGGATCCACGGATCGGGGAAGGTACCCCCAAAAGATGAAGCCCATGACGCCTCATTTTGCGATTGATCGCGCCGATTGCGCGAGGGAACGGACCCCCCCGCTGGTCCACGCGCCCTAATCCACATTTGCGTTTCCTTGAAAGTAGGTTTTCGGTGGAGATGTGGAGCAGAAGGACACACTAGAACGGTGCGCCCACCTTGGAGGCGTACTTCCGAGCCAGACGGATGACATAATCAGGTTCTAGCGTATCGTTACCACGGCGGTATGGCCAGAAAGCACCCGCCACCGAGCGTGCACCATAAGATTCAATGAGCGTGCGCGCGTCGCCCCTGGGGGGCCGACTTACACACAGGACAAGAACGTGCTCGTGATGCCGATGAAACACTTCTCAGGTACTCGGAAGCGGCAAGATACTCTAACTCCTGAACCTCTGGGTGCCTCCAAGAGCCTCCCGCGGCTTCCAGAGAGACTTCACCTCAGGAGAAATTCGCGAAGGGCTGACCGCAGCGCCCAACGACATGGACAAAGCAATACCCAGCCCACAAAAACGCGAATCAACAACAACTCAATACGGCGGTCTTTCGCTGTTCACGGCCATCTGGGGGTCGCGTTCGGGCCCCGAGGCCTTCAAAAGACGGCCCACGGTGGAAAACTGGCTCCTAGGAAGGGGGGGCGCACTTCTAAGGACCCCGTTTTGAGTAAACCACAAAGCAAACAGAACTGCATCGGAGGTACCACTAACTGGCGGCCTCGCACCGACGTCGGCCCAGGCGGGACGTTAAGGCGAAGACGAATGTAACGTTCACGTTGGACGCGCCGTGCGACACCATTTCCACCTGGGCATCGATCTCCTCGAACAACTTGAAGGCCTCCCTCAGAACGCCACAGGATGTCTTCTTGGCTGTTATCAGGGTCAGCATAGACATCGACTGATTGATCTCAACAGTGGCAACGGTGCCTAGCTCAGCACAGAGGCCCGTGAGATCGAGAGGCTTGAAACTTATATCCAAGGTTAGTGAAATAGTGACTTCGGAAGTCGCAATGACGTCAACCGATAATTCGAACTTCTTGAACACATTGAACACATGTGCAAGAAAACCGTGCTGTCCAAGCATTCTTGTGCTCCGGATCACGACCATTGTGATACCGCGCTTGCTGCTCATCGCAGCGACGCGGCTGCCCCGCTCCTGATGAGCTTGTTTAACTCCTGCTGGGCAACACGTAATGAAATAATGCGGCAAGTTCGGCATTGGGCGTGGCGAGCGCCATGCACGCGGCATCCCAACACTTCTGCTAGAAACCAGCCAGGGTGAGAAGAGGCATGCAACTCTGTGGGCGACTCTTTGGAAGACGACTCGTGGGCTGTCGCATAGCTTGCACCACATAGCTTGCGCCACAAAAGGATGCTCCATTCAAAAGAACCCTGCTGTCCGAATTCCACACCACACATAAGGATGATAAGGGCTTCCTGGGATCAACGGGGCATGCTAGTAGCAATATGGACGGAAGGTCCATCGCAAGAGTATGTACGCATGCAATGGCAGACGAAGGCAAGGAGGTGAAACAGCAGGGAGGAAGAGGACGGCTGTTCAGGAAGCCCTCCCGTCGCTCTTCGAATACCACCCTCAGGTGTTATTGATTAAAGGTGGTTGCTCTTATAAGCGTTATCCGTTAGGAAGGTTGCCCCCTTATACGCCATCCCTGGGCTTTTCCCTGGGTCTGAAGGGGCCCCGTGAGCGGTCCGAGGGCTGAATATGACCCAACATAGCTCCAAGAGGACTCAAGGTTGCTCCAGATGGCCTCCCGCATGGCGAAAGATAAGTCAGCTTGCTCCAAGATGGTCGCCACGCGCTTCCAAAAAATCCTCAGTGGTCGCCCGAAGATGGCTCCGAGTGTTTTCGGATTGTCCAGAAAGCCTTTGGAAGCAGTACCTGCAGCGTGCTGGGGCCTCTGTGGGCCGCGTCTGGGGCCTCAGTGGGCAGCGTGGTGTGGCCTCTGTGGACGCGCTTGGGGCCTCCGTGGGCAGCGTGTTGGGGCCTCTGTGGGCGCGCTTGGGGCCTCTGCGGGCTGTGCGGCCTCAGTGGGCAGCGGCCTGAGGCCTCTGTGGGCGGGCTTGGGGTCTCTGCGGGTTTTGTCTGGGGCTCTGGCCTCCCTGGAGCGGCCAGAGGGGCAGGAAACCTGAACTCAACGAGACGGGCTCCCAGGCATCCCTGATTTCACAGTGCTGCGCAAATTCAAGGCGCAGAGGGCCAGCTTACAGAGCTGGCACTGGGGATTGGACCTGCCACCTCTCCTCTGAGCCACTCGGGCTACTGACAGCATGGCGATACCCTGAGGTCGCCCTGCTGCGATCCGACGGGGCCTCCCTGGAGGGGCTGCAGGGGCAGGAGACCAGGGGAAGAGCATGGCATGCCGATGCCCTGGATGGGCGGGGCGGGCAGTAAAACTGGAGGGGCGGGAGGGGCAGGAAGCCTGGGGAACAGTGAAGCATGCCAACACCCTGCCGCGATCCAGTGGGGTCTCCCTGGAGGTGCAGTGGCAGGAGACCTGCACGAAAGTGTGAATGCCATGGTCTGCGAATGCGCTGCTCGCTCTGGCGGGGGCTCCCCTGGAAGGGTGGAAGGAGCAAAAAGCCCTGCACAAACTATGGTGTGCGAGTGCCCTGCTCGCTTTGGCGGGGCCTCTGTGGAGGGGCAGGAGGGGCGCGGACCCGTGTCGATAGTATGGTGTGAGAATACCCTGCTCGCTCTGACGGGACCTCCCTGGAGGGTTGGGACGGGCACGACAACGTGTAAATAGTATGCGAATGCCCTGCTCGCTCTGGCGGTGCCTCCCTAGAGGGGTAGAAGGGTAACGAAACCTTGTTGATAGTATGGTATGTAAATGCCGTGCTCGCTCTGGCGAGGCCTCCGTGGATGGGTGGGACGGGCACGAATCCTTGTAAATTGTATGGTGTTCGAATACCCTGCTCGCTCTGGCGGGGCCTCTCTGGAGAGTGGTAAGCGCACCGAACCGTGTAGATAGCACGGTGTGCGAGTACCCTGCTCGCTCTGGCGGGGTCTACCTGGAGGACACGGAGGGGCACGGCACCTTGCAAAAAGCATGGTGTGCGAGTGGCCTGCTCGCTCTGGCGGGGCCTCCATGGAGAGGTGGAGAAGGGGTACGAGACAGTGTAAATAGTACGGTGCGCGAATGCCCTGCTCCCTCCGGAGGTGCCTCCCTGTAGGGGTGGAAGGGCAACGAAACCTCGTTAATAGTATAGTCTGCGAGTGGCCTGCTCGCTCTGGTGGAACCTCCGTGGAGGGGTGAAAGGGGCACGAAGCAGTGTAAATATCCCTCGGGGATCGAGGACGATTGAGGACGAGGGTGATGAAAAGGAGGGGGAGGAGGACTTGGGGCAAAAAGCTCCTTGACGTCGTCCTCGCTCATCTCGGAGACGATGCGGGTGCCAGGCAGGTGCGGCACCATGGAGTTCCTCACGCGCCCGGGCTGTCCCCATCGGCTCCCTTCGGGGCTGAGGGCTGCAAGAGGCGACGCTTGCTGAGCACTTGCGATTCGGGCGTGCACGTTCGACCTCTGCGGTGTTTTGGGGGGTGCGCCAGCGCGAAGGCTCCAGGCCCTCTCCTGCCCCCGGCCCCAGATCTGGCCGACACCGGCGCGCCCCGCAGAATCCCTCGGGCCGCCTTCCGCAACTCGACCCCCTTGCGCCGTTGGTGGCACCGGCTCGTCAGCTGGAGGGCCCCAGGAAGTTTGAGCTGACAGTCCAAGACGTCGAGAGACACTGCAGCTCTCTCCCACGCGGTGTGCGGTTCCACGTGCCCCCGCTTTCCTCCAGTGCCTGTCTCCTGAACCCTGGTGCCTGTCTTGACTCCCGGGCTCTCGTTCAAATATTGCTTGCAAAATCGCCTGGGGCAGCCCCTGGTCAACTCCCACGCCCATTGCAGTCCTGACCGTGATGGGCACGCCAGCAAGCCAGGCCGGCATGACCGCCGCGGGGTGCACCTTCGGGATGATCGCCCCCGTCCTCTGCCCCAGCTCTCGCTCTGTAGCACAACTGCTCCTGCTGCTGCTGCTAAAACCAGTGCCATTGACACCTGCTGTTGCCAATGGTGGTGCTCATGGTCTTGATGGTAGCTAGCAGTGCTGATCCAATACGTATTGATCCGACTGCGACTACTCCTATATCGGTGTCGACTCTATCTGAACCAACGTGTCCCGAAAACAACAGATTATTTGACTCCACGCGCGCACGCTAGGAACCTGAACAGCCGTGACATTTGCGGCACGACAGGTGAGATGAGTCGTAGCATCAGCAGCAGCAGCTGGAGTAGTAGTAGTAGTAGTAGTAGTAGTAGTAGTAGTAGTAGTAGTAGTAGTAGTAGTAGTAGTAGTAGTAGTAGTAGTAGTAGTAGTAGTAGTAGTACTAGTAGTAGTAGTAGTAGTAGTAGTAGTAGTAGTAGTAGTAGTAGTAGTAGTAGTAGTAGTAGTAGTAGTAGTAGTAGTAGTAGTAGTAGTAGTAGTAGTAGTAGTAGTAGTAGTAGTAGTAGTAGTAGTAGTAGTAGTAGTAGTAGTAGTAGTAGTAGTAGTAGTAGTAGTAGTAGTAGTAGTAGTAGTAGTTAGTAGTAGTAGTAGTAGTAGTAGTAGTAGTAGTAGTAGTAGTAGTAGTAGTAGTAGTAGTAGTAGTAGCAGTATGAGTACAAGTAGTAGTAGTAGTCGTAGTAGTAGTAGTAGTAGTAGTAGTAGTAGTAGTAGTAGTAGTAGTCGTAGTCGTAGTCGTAGTCGTAGTAGTAGTGATAGTAGTAGTAGTAGCAGTAGTAGTAGTATTAGTAGTAGTAGTAGTAGTAGTAGTCGTAGTCGTAGTAGTAGTAGTAGTAGTAGTAGTAGTAGTAGTAGTAGTAGTAGTAGTAGTAGTAGTATTAGTAGTAGTAGTAGTAGTAGTAGTAGTAGTAGTAGTAGTAGTAGTAGTAGTAGTGGTCGTAGTAATCGTAGTAGTTGTAGTCGTAGTCGTAGTCGTAGTCGTAGTAGTAGTCGTAGTAGTAGTAGTAGTAGTCGTCGTCGTAGTTGTAGTTGTTGTTGTAGCAGTAGTCGTAGTAGTCGTAGTAACAGTTGTTGTAGTAGTGGTAAGAGTTAAGAGTACCAGCAGTAGTAATAGTAGTAGCAGTAGTAGTAGCAGTAGTAGTAGTAGCAGTTGTATCAACAATAATACTAATAACAATTCGCCCCCGAAGGAAAGCCTCATGAGGTGGACATCATGTATTTATTGGATGTTTGTGTTGGATGCTTTTTTGGTGTGTTTCGCGCCTTTGAAGCTTCAGGACGCCCAAGACGGCCAACGAAATCCCTAGCATCGCCCCAAGAGAGTAGAGAGACCGGAAAATTGCAACTTAATGGACCGCATGGGGTTTGGCGCAAACCATTGGCTGGTAACTGATGGCGCACCTATGGAAGGCAGACGGACCTGGTCCGCGATTTGGTGGCCTGCGGGGCATCCCTCGGAACACCTGGTGCGCAACCTACAGAATGGAGGCAGACCAAAACAGTTGTTATTTAGTGAACCGCATGGGGTCTGGCGCAACCTACGGCGCGCATCCGATGGCGCAAGTATGGAACGCAGACAGACGAAGGATATCGTGATTTGGTTGCTCGCGGCGAGTCCAATGGCCCAATCGATGGATTGCAGACAGATTAGTCAAGTCGAGATATGGTGGACCGGCCTGTGGCGCATCTGGTGTAACGTCGACGAACTGGGGAAATCGTTACTTCGTGGCCTTCGAGGCTTCTGGCACAACCTATAGCGCGCAACCTGTGGCCTAACTTGTGGAACGCTTCCCAAACAGCCAATGCTGTAAGGGGATGTGGTTGCCTCCGGGGTGTCCAATGGACCCTGTGGCGCAACGTGTGGCTTGGCCCTGCGGGAGTAGCGTCGTGGTGGGTGCCGATGCTGCCCCCTCTCCCGCTGAGGGTGTAAAATGATTCGTCGTCGTCATCGTCGTCGTCGCCAGCGTCGGCATCGGCGTCGGCGTCGTCGTCTTCCGTCGTCTTTCGTCGTCTTCCGTCGTCGTCGTCGTCGTCGTCGTCGTCGTCGTCGTCGTCGTCGTCGTCACCCCGGCTCCCATCTGGTGTGGGGGGCTTGTGGTACCATGGGGCCCATCCCATCTGAGGGGGGGTCCGCGAACCCTCGACCCCGGATCATACATGGCGCCACCTCTGGCGCAACTTGTGGCCGATGCTGTTTACAGACTCTTGGAAATATGCTTGCTCAGCGGCGCCCAGAAATCTTGATCGGCCAATTCCCTTTATGCTCAAGATCAACTCCATCCTGGATGCCATCCTCACCAATATTTCGAGCTGCGTCTAGCCGTGGCCATCGCGGACCCCAAGGAGGACAAACAAAATATGCTGCGCGTCCAGGGAAGACTGCCCCGAATTCCCCAAGGATGCTGCCGCAATCGTCGCGGCACCACGGTCGCCCCAAACACGGTCAGCTCGGCGGCCTCCTCGAACGTCAACACCGTCAGAAGCCGGGCCTCCTTCACGACCCTGGGCGATATATACTGAGAACAAGGGGCCGGACATTACCACCGTTTCCATCTGTCTTCTCGCCCCCTTCGTGCAAGCACAACTCGGCCGAACTGAAAGCATCGCCCTCAGGGCGGGCGCTGAACACAGACCCAAAATCTGCGAGAAGATTGTTGGACGAACCCTCCCTATCTCCTGCAGCACTGCTGGCTTGAAAAGATCTTTGGAGAGACCCGGAACAACATCCAGCGAGATACAATCCTCCGATTCCCCCTCCTCTCCTCCTCCTCCTCCTCCTCCACCTCCTCCTCCTTCTCCTCCTCCTTCTCGTCCCCCCATTACCAAAGATAACGCAGATGCTCTGGTGACCCCGCACGGAGCAATGATCTCAATGATTTCAAACTCCGAACTGCGTGGGCGTCCCCATGTCGTGGGTCGAGGGAGCCCATGATCGCATTGTCTCACTTGCTAAGAAAACTGAATCGCAGGCCTTGGGTCTGTCGTAAGAACGCCATCAACGTCCTTCCAGATCTGCACCTCGCGGAAGGTGAAAGGTAAATATGATGAATGCAGATGATGAGGAAAACACTCGCAGACTGGTTGCCAAGTCTTTGGGCGCGTAAAAGTCATGACATTCACGCATTATGAACACATGATTGGTTATATTCGTTCGTTAGTGATTATTGAAACGAGCCTACAGTAATATAAACTCAACTATCACATACAGACCTCGTACATGCGCATTGGAATGATGGGGGTATGAACGACATCACTCGAAGCAAGTCACTTGCTCGTTCTCAGTCGGCTCCCAAGTTACGGGGTTTCGATCAGCAGACGCGACATGATTTTCTCTTCTCTTTGTCATCACCCCATTATTATTTTGTGCGCGTGGGTGCAGACCCATGACAATTTGCAACCTACGGAACTGCTTCATCACATTTACCCATCGCCACCAATCTCTCGGCCGAAAGGGAAACACAGAAATGTGACATCGTCTGATGTGTTGCACATGACAGGCTCAGATGCGCGAGCTGCTGAAGATGCCGAGCACAGTTTCCCCGAAGTTCCTTTGGGAAGACACGCAACGCTTGACAAAATGTCGCCTGAAAGCCACCAATCACTCGTCACATCGGCAACAAACCGTGATCGTTTCAAGCCTCCCCACAGACAATGTGTTAGCAGCCTCAGACACGGAAGAGCAACTGAACAGCTCCCAATGAGGACCACGACGTGTTGCTCTCTAACACGATGCACGGAATCAAACGCAGCTCGATATTCAGATGCACGCCACAGATCAAACATCTGATGATTTGCAACCGGCGGGCTGACTCAACCCCCCTCGATGCGACCTGCCCTTGAGAGGATGCGATAACACGACGAATCATAACATACGCAGTTCGAAATCGCGCAGGACCCTGTTTCTGTGTTGAAGCCAGCGGAACTACACACGACAACCATCGATCCCTTTCCAGAGCATGTGTAAAGAGCTCAAATCTGATCCACAGGGGCAGCTGGAACACACCCTGGCGAAAGAGTTCTCTGCGGCCCAAGACCCTCAGCATCCGTGCTTTTGCGAACTCTGCCACCGAGCTGTCGTCTAAGGACAAGTAGAGGAGCATGCGGGATAAGCAAAGAAAACCAATACACAAAGAAGGGGCGAGACCAATAAATTGAGGGACCCCTCGCGGGGAGAAACTAGATTGAACGGAACCAACAGGGTGGGCGGCCAGGCACGCCGGGAAGGAGGAGAAGAAAGAGAAGGCGACAGAGAAGCTGTACGACGACGCCCTGGACCCCAACGACGTGGAAGCCATGGGCCACGACGACGGCTGCGTGAGGGAGGCGGCGAAGGCGACGGAGGAGCGGTACGACGACGGGGGGGAGGCCCTGGAGGACGGGGTGGCGGTGGAGGTCAGCCTGGTGGAGGAGGACCTGGACCTGCCAGTGGAGGTTTGCATCGCGGAGGAGGCCCTGACCCCGAGGAGGAGGAGGCCCCGCGGACGAGATTCGAAGAAGGAAGAGGAGGAGGAGGAGGAGGAGGAGGAGGAGGAGGAGGAGGAGGAGGAGGAGGAGGAGCGGAGAAGGATGAGCAGGAGGAGGAGGAGGAGGAGGAGGAGGAGGAGGAGGAGGAGGAGGAGGAGGAGCGGAGGAGGAGGAGGAGGAGGACCATCGTCTGTATCGTCCGTTCCGTCTCCTGCGACAGCACCTGTGGCGGAGGCGTCGGCACCTCCGCGGTCGACATCACCAACTCCTGCACCCTCGGTGTGCGTGTGCGGCTGCGCGCCCGCCCCCCGGCGCCCGGCCCGTGGGGCGGCGCATCGCCCCCGTGGTGGGGGGGGCTCGGGCGCCTCGGGCGCCCGTGCGCGCAGGCGGCGACGCGCGGGCGGGCGGCGGCACGATGAGACCACAGAGCTCTCCGGTGCTCGCGCCACAGCCACCGCCTGCGCCACCGAACCCTGCCAGCACTCCGACATGGCCTGCGCCTCCGTCCACGCGCTGCGGCCCCTCGCCATGCCGAGAACAGGCTAGCCCGTCGAGCCTCGCCGCGGCCCCCGCCAACGCCTCGCCGCCCACACGGCCTGCACCGAGACCTGCGCCAGCACGGCTGCGCACACGGCCCGTCGTCGCTCACGTGGCTTCGTCCGTCGCTCCGACAGCTGCGTCGGCATCGCTCCGCGGCGGCGTGCCGCTCACCACGACGCCGCTCCCGACACCTACTCCAACACAGACTACGGCATCGGTACCCGGCTCTTCTTCGGCCTCATCTTCCACCTCTACGGCGACCGGCTCTGCAGCAGCATGTCCTCCTGCAGATCCACCACAGCCCTCGCAGCGCGCCAGGGCGGTACGATTCGACAAAGTGCAAGGCACCACCTGATGCCCTGCCCACACCCTCGCCCCCTGGTCAGCGCGGCTCGCGGCTCCCCGGCGCGAGTACTAGGCCCAAGAACATGCTGGTAGCTTCATAGGCCTCAGCGGTGGCCCACTCGGCTGCGCGGCCTGCCCCACAGCTACCAGACCACTGCCGCCCCGTGCCACGCCCTTGCAATTCCCACTGCCCCCAACGCCACAGACGCAGCACTCGGGGCACGCCGACTTCCACATCGGCGCCTCTCTGCATCCGCACGGCTACGGCTACCAGTAATCCTTCGGCCTCCACGGCTGGGGCGACCACCTGCCCTCCTTCGGCCCCCATGCACGTCGTTCATTTCCAATCGTGCGCATTTCTAATTGTGCCCGTTTCTAATTGTTCCTGGCCCCCTAGTGGCCAGGAAGAGACCCAGGACAGAATAATTAGAAATGAAAGGATCTTGGCCCCCAAAAAAATTCAAAGAACCTTCGAATGCTTAGAAATGAACCGTGTGTAGCTGGGACGACCACCAATCCTGCTACGGCCTCCACGGCAGGGACGACCACCGGTCCTCCTTCGGCCCCGAGAAGCGGACCAGCTGCAGCGGCTCTGTGCATCTGAGCTGGGCACGCGGCGGTGCCGGCCCGGGGCAGAAGAAAAAGCGGCGACACCAGTACCACCAGGACGAGGCGATGCGAGGAGCAAAGGGGGTCTCCCTGGTAGTGTGGTCCCCCCCTCTCGTTCGAGACAGCCCCAGCGCCCCGCTCGGGGAAGCCTCGTGGACCTCCTCGCTGGCGGTGGCCCCCCTGGTGGTGTTGCTGTCGCTCCTCCACCTCCCGGCCGGGGGGGAGCGGCGGGTGCCCCCCGGCCCCAACTTACCAGCCTGGAACAGATCCCTATCCCTATGCTGGGCATCTCCTCATCACGATGTCAGTCTTAGGGGTTCCCTTATTTTTGGAGGGCGCACCCCTAAGATTGTCATCGCCTTTTGGCGTGTCAATCTTAGGGATAAGAAGAAGTTCGAGGTTGGTAACCAACTGCCCCCGTGGGCAGCGTCGGCAGCGCCCCCCCCCGGGGGAGCCGCGAGTTCCCCCCCTCCCGACGGGCCCAGCGCGTCTGGGGGCACCAGGCGAGGGAGGGCGGGGCTCGGCGAGGCCAGGGGAGGAGGAGGAGGAGGAGGAGGAGGAGGAGGAGGAGGAGGAGGAGGAGGAGGAGGAGGAGGAGGAGGAGAAGTGGGAGGAGGAGGAGGATGGATGAGAAGGAGGAGGAGGGGAGGAGGAGGAGGAGGAGGACGAGGGGGAGGAGAATGAGGAGGATGAGGATGAGGATGAGGATGAGGAGGAGGAGGAGGAGGAGGAGGAGGAGGAGGAGGAGGAGGGCGAGGAGGAGGAGGAGGAGGAGGAGGAGGAGGAGGAGGAGGAGGAGGAGGACACCCGCGACACGGTGCGCGCCTTTGCACTAGGGGCCACCCCGCGCACGGAAAAGGCCCACCCCCCCTCCCCCCCCTCCAACCGCCATCCTCGGCCCCCCTCTTCCACCTCCCCCTTCCTCCTCCGTTTTTTCTTTGGGGGGGGGTCGTTGGCATTTCTGTGCTGTGGGGGGGGGCCTCTGTCCCCCTTTCTCCTTCCTCCTTCGTGCTTCGGGCCCCTTTCGCCCTTCCCCTGTTGGTCCCTCGCCTCCCTGTCTTCGTCTGCCCCCGCCCCGCCGGCGCTGCGGCCCGCCGCGGCAGAAAAGTTGCCGGGCACACTGGTTTGATCATGCACCCAAGGGTCGACGGACCCTGGGGGGGGGCTACGCCTGGAGACTTTGTTGCCATCAGCGCCTCAGTGCTTCAGATGGACGAGGAGGACGAGATGGACGAGGAGGGGCATCGGGAGGAGAGGGAAGGCGACGCGCAGACCAAGAGGAGGACCAGCGGCGACGCAATTCAGGGGCACAAGGAGGAATAAGAGGAGGAGGAGTAGGGGGAGGAGGAGGAGGAGGAGGAGGAGGAGGAGGAGGAGGAGGAGGAAGAAGACAAAGAGGAGCTTTGAAATCTACAGACCGCAAGCACTGTCGACCGTGTCCCACACGCAAAGAGACACCTGGAGAGTCTTAAATCTATCCTCTGCCACGGTGCCAACGTCGTCGGCGAAAGCAGCGCGCAGGGCCACACCAACCCGGATACGAGAGCAGAGGAAGCGGGGAACAGGGTCGAATACGACAGCCCAAATCGAACCCGACATCGGACACCCCCGTTGATACTGCGAAGATTCCAAAGTCCTGGCTCTTGAGGCCCACGGAAGAATATATGGCACCATAACTTGCGGGGGAAAAAAAAACGCCGAACCGCCTGGACAAGTTGCATGGGCATGTTCATCTTCTCGAGTCCAGAACAACACCCCGTGAATCAAGGACGGGAACGCAGTTCGGATGTTAAAGCAGATGATGTCATGCCGCTCCGCTTCGACCCACGCTGCACGAAATAATGAATTAGCCGAGCTTCCAGCTCGAAGACGTTGCTAGCCATATTGCGGTTCCTGACGAAACCTCTCTGGATATCTATACATATGAACTGGGCGATGTAGGCGAGAGGCTTGTTCATAGCTGTGGCCAAGAATTTGTTGTACGTGTTGCCCGGGGTGAGGGGTCGGGTTTCCCCGAGCGAACGGAGGAAGAGGAGGAGAGGAGGAGGAGGAGGAGGAGGAGGGCGACGACGACGAGGTCGAGGAATGTGGGCAGTCCTCCTTCGCGCTGATCGCAGCGCCGATGATCGTGGCGGTGAGGTCGGACCCGTCGCGGCCAAGTGTCGTTATGGTACCGTTGCCGTCTTTGGCGATGTAGCCCGTCACCACTGGCACGTAGGAATATTCCTGCCAGAAGGGGGTCGGCGAAACCGCGCAGGCTGTGCTTACTCGATTTCGGCCTGCGTGTCCGCTTCGGGCCCCAGAACCGTCCTCCATCGATCCGCGATGAAAAAACCAACCAGGCTGGACCCTCTGCAAGGTCCAGAATGCATCGGAAGAGGCCCAATCGAGAGCTTGGGTTCAGCGCAAATCACCCCCAGATGTGTCTCTCCTTTCTAGTCCTCCTGGAGGTCCCTCGTGGCCACGACTGGGCGCAGCTCGCAGAACTGGTGAGGAGGGTGTCCAAGATGGTGTCTAGCATTTAGAGCGAAACTTAATGATTGACCGACCAAGACTTCCAGGCGTCCCGAAAACACAACTGCCCGACGAATGACCAATTTCCTATTATTTCGGCGTCCAAGGGCAGATTCTGGCCCCCAGGACCGTCAAAACGACCCACGACGAACAACTGGCTCCAGGGATGGAGTCGATAACTGCGGGGGGGCACACCGTTGGAGGTCAGCTTGCGAACTGATGTAAAGAAGATTCCATACTAGAATGGGCCAAACAAAGACGATGAGGCAGAAGAATCGTCATCCATGTGCGGCAACCTCTGAGCCCCTGACCTTGCATGGAGCGCAACGGAATGCACGATCCAGGAGGAGGAGGAGGAGGAGGAGGACGACGACGGCGACGACGACAACGACAAGGCGGACGCGCAGGCCGTATGGGTCTAGGGAGGCCTAATCGAGATACTGCCGGCCCTCCTCTCCCTCCTGTTCTATGAAATCCCACCAGCCCTCTGGGCGTAGGTGGTTTAGGGAGTTTCCTCTTCCAACCCCCTTTCTTCCCCTTCGGGGAAGGGTTTACCCCTCCCCCTACCCCCTCCCCTGGACCTGGACGGGAGGTTTCGCTGGTAGTTGGAGCGTCCAAGTTGGCCCAAGATGGCTTCAAGAGCGCCTCGGGGAGCCCAAGATGAGCTCCAAGATTGCTCAAGCTAGCCTCAGATACCTCAAGATGGCTCCGAAGATGCTCCAATAGGCCCGAAGACCGCCCCAAGACGGCTCCAAGAAGCCAACTAGCTTTCCCAGGAGGCCTCCAAGAGGCCAAAATCCTTCAAAAACCAAAAGAAAATCAATGTATTTTGCTTTCTCGCCTTTTCGCTTCCGATGGCCATTCGAGGCCTCAAGATGGCTCCAAGAGGGCCCAAGATAGCCCCAAGAGGGGCCCAAGAGAGCCTCAAGACAGCCCCAAGAGCGCCCAAGAGCGCTCCAAGAGTGCCTCAAGATGAGCCCAAGAGGCGATTTCAGAGGATCTAGAGGGGCAGGGCTAATTAACCCCACCCTCTTCTTTGATCGATCGCCTCCAAGATGGCCCCAAGAGGCGCCCAGGAGGCCCCAAGACGCGCCAAGATGGCCCCAAGATGGCCCCAAGATGGCCCCAAGAGGTCCCCAAGAGGCTCCCCGAGGCACCCAAGACGCCCCAAGAGGCCTCCGGGACCGCCAAGACGCTCCCAAGACGCCCTAAGAGGCCTTCAGGACGCTCCCCAGAGACATCCGAAGAGACTCCGAGAGGCATCCAAGAGGCCTCTGGCCATTCTGCTCGCCCTTCTCCTCATCCTCCTCCTCATTCTCGTCCTGCTCCTCCTCCTCCTCCTCCTCCTCCTCATCCGCCTATTGCTCCTCCTCCCTCCTCCCTCCTCCCGCTCCAGCGCCAGCTGGCACGAGCCGCCGCTCTGCGCCAGCCAGCGCCATCGGCGCTTCCCCGCGCCGCCTCCCCGCTCTCCCCTGCTCCCGTCCCCTCGGCCGCGCTATGGAGGCGCCTCCCGCGGCCACCGCAAGCCGCCGCAGGCCGCCGCGGAAGGCTGCCGCGCGTCGCGCGCAGTACACGAGGGCCGAGGCGCGCGCGTCAGAACACCTTCTGCGCGCCTTCGCAGCCCTCACCAGCCATCGTGGCCGCCAGCCATCGCAGCTGGCCCAGGCGGTGGCCTCGGCGCTGGCGGCGGCGCCAACGCCCTCTGCGCAGCGGGGCGCAGCGGCCTCTCCCTCTCCGGATGCTGTCGCTCCCGGTGCCCATGGAGGCGACGCGGCGGCTGCAGTCCCCTCGTCTCCGCTGGCAGCGGGACCAGCGGCCATGGCTGCCGAGGCGGGCTTTCCAGACCACGGGGTTCTCGGTCAGCGGCTGGCGGCAGCGGGCGACGACGTGGTGGTCCCGGAGGGCGAGTTCACCTCCCCCTCTGCCCCCCCCTCTGCACGGCCTCCTTTTCTTCCCCGCGGCACCCCAATCCCAGGCTTTCCGCCTAGGACGCGGGCGGAGGCTGATCCAGGCCCCAGCCCTGCCACTGCTCTAGGCCTCGCGCAGGGCTTATGCCCGCCACCATTTTTTCGGCAAGTCTCTGTACCTTCACGGCCGTCAAGGCCAGTACCACTCCCAGTACGCCCTGCAGCGCCAGCGCCGCCAGCACCTTCACGGCCGACAGGGCCGGTGCCAGTACCCTCACGCCAGCCAGAAGCAGTGCCAGTGTCAGTGCCGTCGCCAGTGCAGCCATCATGTACGCCACCGGGGATCACAGCAGCGGAGGCGAGGGCCTGCCGCGCGGTGCTGTCAGCCTCGAGTAATCTGTTCGCGGCCCCGCAGCAGTCACAGGCAGACCCAGTGCCAGGGGCGCAGCTGCCGAGCCCCATTGTGCAGAGTCCGCCACGCCACGACGACTCTAGGCCCTTTTTCACCTGTACCCCAGCACGTGCCGCCTTGGATGCAGCGGCCGCAGCGCGGCGCGTTGCCGCATCTGCCGCGCACCAGTCTCCGCCATAGGCGGCTCGAGTCACCAGCCATCCTCCAGAGCTCAGCCAGTTTTTCCCGCCGAAGGCGGAAAGCCAGAGCACGGAGGGGGATGGGCAGGTATGGTAGTTTTTTGCGGCAGGTCTGGCTGCCCTCTCTGGCCTTCGCGCACAGCTACTTTGCACAGCTCGGCCTCTCCTGAAAGACGGGGTGGAGCCCACATGGGAGGGATCGGCCACGCCCTCCTGAAAGACGGGGTCGAGCCCACATGGGAGGGTGTGGTGCCAGCGCCAACTGGCTTCGGACCTTTTTCGCGGGCCGGCAAGGCAGCAATCTCTGGCACTTGCGAACAGCTACTCTGTACAGCACCAGGCCCCTCCTGAAAGACGGGGTCGAGCCCACATGGGAGGGGTCGCCCGGGCCCTCCTGAAAGACGGGGTCGAGCCCACATGGGAGGGCTCGGCGCTGGCGTTTTGAAGGCCAGCAAGCAGCCCTGGCTTCTTCCTACCCAGCGCGGCCTCGTGGCACACCTTCCACTGCTTACTTGTATAGCCCCAGGCCTCTCCTGAAAGACGGGGTCGAACCCACATGGGAGGGGCCTGCCGTGCCCTCCTGAAAGACGGGGTCGAGCCCACATGGGAGGGCGCGGCACTCGCGCACGGCACGCAAACACACAGGCCCTGGCTTTTTCACCGCAGCGCGGCCTCACGGGGAACCCCCGCCCTTCTCCAGTCCAGCACTCCTCCCCTGGAGGTTTGGACAGCCGCACGGCGGCCTGGCCAATTTGGCCCTCCTTCCAGCTCTTCCCTCTCCTTCAGCCGACCGCAACCTGGACGGCACACCTAGGCAGGTTTCTCCTTTTTCCAGCCTTGCACTGCTCTTTGCCTCGAGGGCTGCCCTGCTATGGGCAACGAAGCAGGGCTCCGCTGATGTCTCTCTTCGCACGGAGCTGCAAACTCCTCCTCTCTCTTATAAGATTCCTCTCTTCCCCTCCTGCAGCGCCAATACCTCTCTCCCGACAGTTTTCGGGACGAGAGCGGAAGCAGCTCAGCGTCCATGTTTTCGGGTTTCTCGTGTGCAGCCTGTGCCAGTCCTGTTGGCGTCAGCGCTCAAGCTACTTGCAACGAGCTCAGTGCAGTCAAAAAGCCTCCCGCTCCCCCTCCTCCTCCTTCAATTCCTCCTCCTCCTCATCCTCCTCCGATTCGTCCTCCATCCTCGCCGTCTTGGGCAAGACGAGTTCCCCAGACCTTTGGTACTCTGTATGCTCCCTCACTTCCCTGATCACCTCCATTCGCCTGGGCATCGTTACTGGATGGGCTGGTGGGGATACTTTTTTTGATCTGCGGCTCCAAGGACGATTCCAGAGAGCGGGTCGAAAACTGGTGGGGATACGCGAAGCGTCAAGAATTTTGTTCTGCGCTCGACGATCTCAGTAGGCGTAATTAAGAAACAGATATGAAACTTCCGTTGGCGCTTCGTACGGTGCTGTGCTTACTGATCGGACACACAGGACCCGCAAGGTAAGTGGAGGCTCTCTCCGTGCACAAATGCGTGACTGCCCTCCTACCTCGCCCCATCTCTCCCTTCTGCCTTCTCTCCTTATCTGCTCCTAGGTTGATCCTCCCTCTTGCTCCTCGTTCGGGATGGGGGTGGGGAGGGGAGGCGCTGCCTCATGCAGCCCGTCCTCCACAGCAGCCGCACCCCGATGCCGGCGGAGGACAGCAGGAAGGGGAGAAGGTGGAGAAGGAGAGGGAGGGGCAAGGGGACGAGCACGCCTACGTCGCGCCGCTCGCCAACGCGCACCCGATCCTCGCAAAGCGGAAACTGTGCTCCGCTGTGCGAGAGGCTGCGCCGCGCGTGGTCGCAACAACAGCCGGTCAAACTCCGAAGCCATCGCGCCGCCCTGGAGAACCATAAACACACGTCAGTGCTTGTGCCCTCTGCTGGACCTTCTAGGGGCAATGGGACGAGGATGATAGGGGAGAACGGTTGCGAGCAGCATAGCGAGGAACAGGAGGAGGAGCAGCAAAACCAGGGACTGCCCGAGGTGCTTGCCCACGGCATACATTCAACACGTATAACAAGGATGCGCGGTGAGGATGCAAGGGCCTTGGAATGCCATGTCGACGTTTTTTCGAGTGGGGCTGGGCAGCGAAAGCGACCAGGGATGGGCCGAAGGGGCAAGGATGCAAGGGAACCTTGGGAAGTCGCTCATCCTTACTATGCGGGTCGAATGCACCGTGCGGAGAAAAAACTGCACCGAACCCCAGGAAGGTCTGGGAGGAGTGGGAGGTGGATGCGTATCGGGAGGAGGGGGGGCAGGATCAGGAAATGCAAGAGTTGCTCTGGTAAGGGCGAGGCGGGGAACGACGAGAAGAAGAGAGCTGAGCAGGAGGGGAGGATGATGACAGAGCAACGCACACTCAAACCTATAGAGGGGGGGAGTGGAGAAGTGCATGGAGATGGAGACGCTATGCGTCTGGGTTGCGGTTTCTCTGACCCCGAGGGGGGCTCCCGTTCGAACGGGAGCCCCCATCCGACAACACACACCCAGAGCCCCCGACAGAATTCCACACCGAGAAATCTCAGGGTCGCATAGGTCTGGGTGCTAGTGGTCAGTCCGTGAGAGGAGAAGAAGCACAGGGAGGAGGAGTAGGAATGGCTAGGGTTCGTTGGATGCGCCCGCCTCTGTCCCATAAGAGAACAGACCACGACCGAACCAGGATGAGGAGATGGAGGCGGCCAGCGTCGTGGTAATACAAGGAAGAGACGGAGGAGGGGAGTGAGAAGTAGCAGGATGAAGGGAATGGCACAAGAGCAGCGGGAGGAGGAGGAGGCGGAGCAAGATCGGCGGGCACGGTTCGGGGCCACGACCCCGCCTCCTGCAACAAGACCACCACGAGTCTCATACGGGAGGGTGGGGGTCCGGAGGGGAGCACTCTCCCCCCCCTGCTCCTCGTCCACCCTGTTTCCTCTCATGTATTTTTTTTATTTATATATATATATATGTAAAAAAATGTGTGTATATGTATATATAACGTATATATATATACATATATAAATTTGTGTGTATATATTTATATATTTATATATATATAACTCCTCCCTGTCGCATTTCCGATTTCCTGGCTTGGCGTTTCGCCTCAGGCATCCTCCCCCATGCATGATCCTGGAGCTTGAGATCCGGAGCAGGTGTCAGGATGGCGGGCGAACGGTTTTAAACATGTGGTCCTGGCGCGAGCGCCGCGCACACTCGTCTTAAAAAGCGTGCAACTGCTTTTTTATGGATGGAGGGCGGCCCGTCGTCAAGAGGAGCCTCCAGCGCCGCGCGTGTTCGTCGTAGAAACACAACACTTTCGACGGTGGAGGCTCGAACCCGCTTTCAAAAGGTGGGCCTCGCCTTCGCACCGCGCACATTCGCTAACAGTTCGCAGCCCTTTTCGAGGAGCCGAATGGTTAAAGTCTCAGGGAGCGTTCTGACGCGATTTAGGATCGTCAGGACCCAACAGCCATATTGATTCGCTGTGCTGAAGTCCCAGGAACGGCGTTCTGGCGCGATTTAGGATTGTCAGGACACAACCATCACGCTGGCTCGCTGCGCTGAAGCCTTATGAATGATGTTTCGAACCGGTTGGCGATTATGAGACGCTGGTCTTCCGATGGAGCACTTCCCGTACCTTCTTGCAGGGACCTATGGAAGGATACCTTCGCGGGCGGACTGATTGCAACATCGCTGATGCGTCTCGGGTCTACGCTGGTCCTCCTGCTCCTCATCCTCATCCGCATACCCCTCGTCCGCCTCATCCTCATGTCTCTTCGCGCCTGTTGCGTCCGTGCGGATCGCATTTGAGGGTAGGCGGAACAGGCCGTCAGACTTCGGCAATCTCACTCGTCTCATGGAGACTCGAAGACAAACGGACGGCGCGGAGGAGGGGTCAGACGCGCACAAACGGGAGCCGTGGGTGGGTCTTGAAGCCACTGCTCTTGTTGCCGAGGGCGCGATTCGGGTTCGTGCTCGGGTCAGGGCGAGGTGGGAGCCAGGAAGGCCGACACCGCCACAGCCCCCGTGTGGAGCTGGCCATCGCTCGGACGTCCATTTCCTGCGTTTTTTGCGGTTTCGTGTGTGGTTTTTTCGCCAATTGATCAAGGATGCTCCTCGATGGTCCTCGCCGAAGGACAAATGCACACGTCCGAGCGATGCCAAGGGAGCCAAGGGAGGTCGCTCCCCCCTGTCCTGCTGGCACGGGGGCAAGCGACCCTCTCCAGGGAGCTATTGCGGCGGCGCGCCGGGGGGGGGGGAAGCGAGAGGGGGCAGACCTTCTCAGAAGGCGGCGGGGCTCTGGCCATCGCTCGGACGTACATTCCCTGTGTTTTGTTTGGTGTCGTGCGTGGCTTTTTCGCCAAATGATCAAGGATGCTCCTCGATGGTCCTCGCCGACAGAAAAATGCACACGTCCGAGCGATGCCAAGGGCTTCTCAGAAGCCTTCTGGCCTTCCGAGAAGCCGACTGTGGCTTCGGAGCAGGCTTCGGAAGTTCCTAAGAAGGCAGGGTGCCTTCTGAGCCTTCTGAAGCGGCCCGCTCCCTCTGCCTTCCCCCTCGGCGCGCCGCCGAGGGGAAGGCAACTGCTCGGACCCTAGAACATATGGCGAAACGATCGTCAGGAAATGATACGGGAAATGATGCGATCGACAAGTCTCGCCACGGCGCGGCTGGCAACGGAAACCGCGGTCCAACTCCAGAGAGGACATGTACTCCGAGATCGCCTCGTACGTCTCCGGCAGGATCTCCACCTGCGAGAAGGTCGAGTTGGTACTTCCAGCTCCGCTGCTCGTCAGCATGCCCACCTGGAGTGCGCTTGCTTTCTCGACGCACCACAGGCCCAGGACGCGATGCCCATACTTGAGACGCGACTGGGGGGTCGGCAGGCTGTCGCGATGCCCTGTCGCGGAACCGTCGTCGCCCCTCCCCCCTTGGTGAAGCGAGGCGCGGAGGAGCGAAGCAGGAGCCTGCTGCCAGGAGCGAGGAGCGAACACGGCGCTTCAGAGCCCGCGGGCGCGAGCGAGCCAACGCGGGTGCCGAGGCGCCGGGTCGGGCAACCAGCGGGGGCCTCGCCGGGAGCAGACTGGCCACGAGGGGGCGCGGGGAGAGGGGGGAAGCGAGGGAGGGACAGTAAAGGGGTGGACGAGCGGGTCGGATAGCAATGGGTAGGGCTCGAGACTCGAAGCCAGGAGCAGGACAATTTCGGGTGAGGATGCATCGGGGATCTCTGAGATCGGGCGGCTCTGGAGGACGTCTCGGGAACCGCGGCATGCTCAGAGCGTTCCGGAAAGCCCTGGAACGGATTTATCCTCGTCCTCGCCCCGTCCGATGGGTAGATACTCCGCTCACGTCGCTGGTCTTCCTGGCGCCTCCTGCGCCAGGAGGCGTCCACATACCGAGGCATGGGCCCGGCGGCGGGGCGGAAGCCGGCTGCAGACAGCAGATTGCGTAACCCCCCATTCCCTATCCTACCCTTTCGCGCGGCTCGACAAGAGCCGCTCGGAACGTGAAGTGCATCGCGGGCGTGACGAGGAGGAGCAACACAAAGCAGGGAGGAAGGACCTGGAGCGCGCCTGCTGCCATGATGCTGAGCCTTCCAGCAGAACGCTTTGCGCAAGCCTTCCTGGAGATCACTGCGATCTGCTGCGCAGTCACCGTGATACAGTATCTGATACAGTCGAAGCTGATAGTAAAAATTCGCGACAAGGATGCAAGCCCCTCGGACGCCCATGCCGAAGCTTTTCGAGCGGGGCTGGCCATCGGAAGCGGTCCAGGATGAACCGAAAAGGCAAGGATGCAAGGGTACCCTTAGGAAGGTTGCCCATCCTTACTGTCGATTTCGGATGCACCATGCAGAATGGAACGATGGGCGTTACTGGCCAGGGCAGGCACAGCAAAAACAAACGAAACGAACAACAAAAAAAAAGCGAAAGGGCGACGAAAAGGTCCCCGACCTGGATCCGAGGAGCGACCCGAAAACCAGAGCCACTCCTGAGCCCAAAGTGGTAATTACTTCAGCGTGTTGGCTGTATTGTGGCCAGCCCCTGCTCAGATCATCACAACGTGAGGGACAGGCCGCAGACCGAGTGTGCAGCGCGGTTGGCAAGAACGGCCTGGGAGGAGGAAGAAAGAGCGAGAGAGAGAGAGAGAGAGACAGAGCGAGAGCGAGAGAGAGAGAGAGAGAGAGCGCGCAAAACAGCGCGCGTGCTGCAACGCAGTGCCGCAGGAAAGGCAGTGCACAGTGAGACACTCTGGACCCCTGCGGTTTGCTCTTGCCACATGCGGTCGCCGACGCCTCTCGGCCCCGCCACCCCTCTTCGCACGACCTCCCAAGCGCCGCCCTCGCCGGCAGCCCGAGCCCGGCCTGTGGCTTCCCCCCCCCCCCCCGCGCTCAGCCTCAGCGCGGGGGGCCCCGCGGGTCTGCCGGCAGATGCGCGACGCGCCGGCGTCCACCCAGGATTGACTACCTACCAGACCACCCCAACCCAACCCGAAGACCCGAATTTGACCCGAATTTCGGGTTGGGGGGGGTACGGATACCACGTGTTTTTTCAACGTTCCCCGACCCCCCCCCCCACTGGAAATCGACGATAAATTTGGGCCTTCGGGTTGGGTTGGGGTGGTTTGGTGGGTGGTGAGACAGTACCCCGACCCGGGATGGCCGGCTACGCCGCCGGCCTGCCGCCCCGCTTCCGCCGGCGGAGGCGTCCGAGCGCTGCTTCGCGTGGTCTCCGCCGCCATCTCCCGCCGCCCTCCACCGCGGAGGAGGTGGCATTGCAACAAAAACACAGGATTGCAAAAAAAAACAGGATTGCAAAAAAACCCGTTTTTTTTGCAATCCAGGTTTTTGTTGCAATCCTTCGTTTTTTTTTGTTTTTTTTTGCAATCCTTCCTCGACCCCTCGATGCAGCCATGGAACGGGGACTGCAGTCAACCCGTATGGTTGAGGGCGCGCGACAAGGACGCGAGAGCCTCGGAGGGCCGCGTCGACACTTTTTGCGAGCGGTGCCCGGCCAGCGAAAGCGGATGCAGGGATGGACCGAAGGAGAAGGATGCAAGGGTGACCTTAGGTCGGGCCTGTCCCCCATACAGGGGGATTTGGAGCGAAAAATTCTGAATACCCCGAAGATACCCCAAAATAATAATAATAATAATAATAATAATAATAATAATAAAATGTCATGTGACCTGCCCATGTCTTTGCCTATTTTTGCATATTCCTCCTGTAGATGCACAGGCCCGACTTCAGGGTAACCTTGGAACGTCGCTCGTCGTTACTGTGCGGGCTGGCTGGAAAGTTATGTCGGGCCTGTCCCCCTACAGGGGGATTTTCGACGAAAAAGATATAATACTCCAAAAATACCCCAAAAGGGTCAAACAATACTCAAAAAATATCCCCTGACTATTTTTTTAATTTGTTTTGACTATGTTGGGGGTATTTGTTTTATTTTTCGTCGAAAATCCCCTTGTAGGGGGACAGACCCGACTGGACGGTAAAGGCTTCCTGGACCTCCCCAGGGCTCGGGGCCTCTGCACCTCTGGGAGCGCGAGGCGCCGCCACCTGCGCAGCCGCTCGAGACGGAGAAGCGGAGCCCCGTCGGACGCCTCGATGCGCCATGGATCGAACCTTCGTCGGCGACAGGCGGTGACAGGGGTGGGACAACTCCTTCACGATCTCTCCACATTCTTTGACCGGAAGAAAGCTGAAGTGCCAACGGCCCAACGCGTGAGGAGGAGAGGGGTTGGGGTCGATGGGTACACGCAGACAAGCACGCAACATCAATAAGTCGAAGTGCAAGTGTACCTGGAGAGACTCACGCAACATCAAAAGCGCGAATGGCAAGTGTACCTGGAGAGACTCGCCCCGTCCTCTTTTTCCCCCCATACCAATCAGGATTGTATGGTTGGGAAAAAGGAAAGGCGACACCAACACCAGCAGGGCGAGGAGTTGCGAGGAGGCAAGGGGAGTCTCCCTGGTGGTGTGGTCCCCCCCCTCTTGCTCGAGGGATCCCCAGCCTCCAGCTCGGGGGGTGGCATCGTGGACCTCCTCGCTGGAGGTGGGCCCCTTGGTGGTGTTGGCATCGCTTCTCTTCCCTCCGAAGGGGCGGCCGCCGTGCGAAGGAAAACAGTTCATGTGAGAGAACAGCACGACACCCCCCCCTCGGCAAATGAACGAACATCTGGCAGACCGAACAAACAACACATAACACCGGGAGAACGGAATGAGAAAACGCGCTGTGCTCATCGTCCACCTCGTACATATTCCATCCGCGTTTTGGGGGTCCCTGAGCCACCCAGATGCGCTTGCGTTATCTTCGCGCTCCCGCGCTGCTCCCATCAGATGTCGGCTACGGCTACTGTACGCGCAAGAGCGACCCTGGGCAACAGGGACCTTCGTCGCGCGGCTCTGGGGGGGGGCGCGGGGGGGGGCCAAAAATCCAGGCGCGCGAGACGCTGCTCCCGCACCGCACTTGGCGATCTGGGCCCCCCAGTGGGCCCGCACCAGAGGTCAACCAAGCAGAAGCATGCGCGCAGGCGAAGAAGAGCATCAGCATGGGCGGGTCCTGGACCGCTTTCCCCCTGGACGAGATCTTAATCCCGAGTCGTTTTCTGACAGTCCCGGGTCCCGTGGAGGGCCCCGAGAGCACGAAAACGGAGAGAAACCTCGGGACCCGTTCCCCTCAGGACCCGCTTCCCGAATGGCGAGCAGGCGAAGAAGAGCAGTCGTCCGGCCCAAACCCCAGACCCCCAACGTCATGGCCTTTTCCTGACGACCCCCGGAGGTCTCGACCCATCCCTCGGGACCGGTTTTGCCTCCCGGGTCCTTCTGTCACGGCCCCGAGGCCCGGTCTGGGCCCCCGGAGGCCGAAGACAGCGAACGCGCCGCTCGTCGTCGTCGTCGTCGTCGTCGTCGTCGTCGTCGTCGTCGTCGTCGTCGCCGTCGTCGTCGTCGACGTCGTCGTCGTCGTCGTCGTCGTCGTCGTCGTCGTCGTTGCCGCGGCTTCCCTCCGCGCCCGCCCGCTGGGGGTGGCCCGTCTCATCGACTCGCCCGAAAAGGGCGCCCCCGCGCACGGCAGCTCGGGCCGGCAGGGGGGGGATAGCAAAGGGAAGGGGGGCTGAGAATCAGCTCCCGCAGCTGAGTTTCCCCGCGCCTCCCGGCGCCCGAGGCGGCCATGCGTCGAGGAGTGGGCCCCATCGGTGGGGCCGAAACCAGCTGCACGCAGCAGATTTCGTAACCCCCCTTTTCCCGATCCCTTACCAGCCTGGAACCTATCCGCATCCCTGTGTTGGGCATCGCCTCATCACGATGGCGATCTTACGGAGTTCCTCAGTTTCTGACGGTGTATCCCTAAGATTGTCATCTCCTTTTAGCGTGTCAATATTAGGGATAGGGATCGGTTCGAGGCTGGTGAATCCCCCCCCCCCTTCGTTCGGCCCGCAGGGCGACGTGCCTGCCAGCTGTCCAGCGCCCTGGCCGGGACGCGCCGGTCCTCGGGGCCGCACGGGCGGCCGCGGCGGGGGATGGGCCGGGCCCCAGAGACATCCGGCGTTTCGATGGAAGCTCACCGCAGTGTTTGGCCTCTCGGGGCCCTCCTTCTGCCGGGTCGCGGGGCGTCCGCTGGCCATCGCTCGGACGTCCATTTCCTGTGCTCTTGTCGGCTTCGTGCGTGGTTTCTTCGCGAAGTGATCAAGGATGCTCCTCGATGGTCCTCGCCGAAGGGAAAAATGCACACGTCCGAGCGATGCCAGGTCCAGATGGACGACTCGGCATGGAGAATCGCTCCCAGGGAGAGGGGTCGAGAGGTCGGGGCCCGCGTCCCGAGCAGAGATCGAGGCGCCGGAGGCCTGGGGAGCAGGCGCGTGCACGGCGAGAGCTCCTGCCACGAGGGCCTCAGGCGCTGGTCCGTCGGAGCCAGGGGGGTAAATAATAGAGAATTGATTTAATATATGTCAGTAGTTTGTGGCACAATATTTTCATGTTTTGCAGCGTTTTGTGCCACCAGAGGCCTTCGATGTGTCCGTTGGGCGACCGCCCACGAGGGCCTCAGGCGCTGGTCCGTCGGAGCCAGGGGGTCCCAGATGCCACCAGAGGCCTTCGATTTGTCCGTTGGGCGACCGCGACTCGGCAGCGGAAGTCCCACGGCAATGCTCCAGGCGAAAGTCTGGCCAGCTACACAGAATCACCAACTGAGAAGAAGACACACACACACACACAGAGACCAGGGAGCATAAATCTTGAATGCCTGCGCCTGCGTGCGCTGCCGCCGCACCGAGAGAGCGCCAACCTGCCGCACGATCGAGGCAACTATTGAGACTTGCTGCCGCCCAAGAGCTCTCTGGCGGCTTGCCAGCAGAAAAATGACAAAACGATGAGCAATTGGTAGGGGCAGTGAAGAACCATGTTCCTGCGGTCTGGCGGCCTCGACGGCGACGACGACGACGAACCGAACACATTTGTTTAATCGATCACTTCCCAGCGGGGCACTGCGACCCCACCCCTATGAACAGTTCTTAGCCAGTTGGCCGCGTAACCTCAGACCGACGCTGGGCCAGACCCGCGAATCCGACCCCGTGCCTGGTCAGGGGCTTCAAGATCGGGCCCATTTCTTGGAGTTCGGCCGAAGCGCCGCTGGGCTTGTGCATAGAAAGGGTGTGAGACCGGCGCAACCGCACCAGGAAGCTGGAACCACGCACGGCCGCACTCGCAAGTGAGTCATGATGCAAAGGCCACCCGCGCTGGATGCACAGGCAGAGAGGGCCGGCGTGCCTGGCCATACATGGGCCGAGCGCTGGAAAGACATGCGGCCGGCAACGTGTGTCCAGCTCTCGCCAGGGCCGGCCCCAGCAGGTGCATCTGACTCCTTGGCACGTGCATGCGCGCGCGAATGGCCCGCTCCAGAACCCCCGAGGGCGCCAACGTTCACCCCTCCTGGGCGGCCTCCTCTGCTTGTGTGCCGCTTCCCGCTTCCGGCAGCGAACAGCGGCAACGCTTCGGGCCACGCACAGCCCGTCCCCCCCGAGGGGTAGTCCTGGTGTGCCTGAGCAGGCCCCCCGAGTAGTCCCAGCTGGCCTCAACAAGCTCCCTGGGCAGACCAGGGCGGCTTCAACACCCCAGCCCCGGGGCGCGGCAGGCCCCCGGGGCGCCGCTGGAGGCGGCGCCAGGGTGCTGAGACCGCCCCGTGCTACTCGGGAGGCCCGTTGAAGCCAGCTGGGACTATGCGGGGGGACTGCTGAGGCCAGCCGAGACTATCTGGGGGCTTCGTCTGCGCGCAACCCGAAGCCTTGCCAGCATCCACGGGGTTCCCCAGAATGGCCCTCGGCAGACCACGGGCGAAAACGCTTCGTCTAGACGTTCACTCTCCAGGACTGGCCCGTCGCCCCGAGGGGCGCGGGCGCCGCACGTTGTTCAACGGCCAGGCCTGGCTGTGGGCAGATGCCACTTCTGGTGTCGCAGAAACCTGCTGGGGCCGTCCTGGCCCTTCCGACCTGCCTCCCTGGGTGGTCGGGTGCGTCTGCCAGCTTGGATCTCGAGGTCGGTCTCCTCGGAGACCCTCAAGCCCTCCCGCCAGCCCCCTCCTGCTCCCATCTTTCCGCGTGCGTCACTCCGAATCTCCCCCCATCCCCGCATGCCCCCCCACGACCAGAGGATGAAGCCCTCCCTAGAGGCCTCCCAAATGAGTTCGGAGTAGATGGAGTCAGAGAAAAGCGCCGCATCGTTGGTGCATTGACGATGCGCGGGCAACGTTCGAACCGCAACGACCCTCATCCACGACACATCCGCGATCCTAGATGCATCGCGGGTGCATCGTGGATGCGCATCGGCTTGCGCATCGAAATATGAACCCGCAAATCGGCAAATGATTGAATGGGCCATCGTGCACCCGCGGATCGAAACCAGAATCCGTGGATTGAACGTGAACCTGCGGATTGAAAATAAATCCGCGGATCGAAAACGAACCCGTGGACCGAACATGAATGCGCGGATTGGAAGCAGGTCTTGGGTCGAATTGAAAACATGGCCCACGGATCGATAATGAACCCGCGGATCGAACAATGAATCCGCGGAGCGGACATGAATCCGCGGAGCGGAACCGGGACCGCGATCCTCGGATCGGCAAAGGGATCCTTGGATCCAATCGACTACCCCATTCCCGCACGGGAAGGAAAAGAGAGAAAGAGAGACAGAGAGAGGGAGACAGAGAGAAAGAGAGAGCTTGTAGAGGTGCCAGGAGCGCCCCTACGCCTCTGGCCTTGCGCCAGGCCGTGGGAAACATTGCATTGTCGTCAAGCGTCGCTCCAAAGTTTGTGCTGTCCGCCCCGCGTTGTCGAAGCTGGCCGGCATCCTATGTCACGGCGCCGAACTGAACACCCCCCCGAATCCACCAACTGTTTGCGCACGCGGAGATAGTGTCGGTCAGCGCCTTGCCGCCTTCCTGATTCGCGCGCTCCCATGTTCCGCTCCGAGCCTGGTGGCGTGAGCTCATCACTGATATGCGTAGCCCGGTGGATGTGAGAAGCCCACGACTCATCAGGCAAGCGTCCACCGCGCACCGCATTGCGAACCATGCTGCGTTGTGTCGCGCGAAGCTTCTTCTGCCAGTCCACGGTTCGAGCCCAGGTTCCTGCAGCATATACCACGCTCGGTGTGGCGCGCGCAGGGGGGAACAACAAAAACAAAAAGAAAAAACAATCCAACCGTTGAGCAAAACACATCAGTTACTTCTTTTTGCTCAGCCACAACGCATGCGACGCCGAAGATGCAGACGTCGCTGGCACAGGAGAAATTCGGTGCGCGGGCTCTGTCACACTGTGCCTTCCGTACGCCTTTTACTCCGTAGTTTCTCGCCTCTGTCTCCAGGACCGCGATCACTCTGGCCATGCCCCCCTTGCTTATGCACAGCAAGAGGACATCGTCCGCAAAGCGGAGGCTTGTGAAGGGCAGGTCAGGGGAGTCACTGTCGATGCCGTACTGTGGCCCCGTGCGGCGCACATGCACGCTCTCACATCGCGCCCTCTTGGACCCTGCGCGAGGTGATGCGAACTGTCAAGTTGCCTGCTCCTTGTTCTAACCATCGCGGCGGCCCCCTGCTTCGCCTAAAACCCGTTCAAGCTGTTGATGCACACGCGAAAAAACCCTCTGCTCGTGCGGTGCCGCGCACGGCGCATCATGCTCCACAGTGCCGAATGCCTTCTCGAAAGCCACCATGCCGGCCCAGAGCTCCACATTGTACTTCTTGTTGCCCTTGAAAGAGAAAAAAGCAAAGTCGTGCACAGCAAGAAGACCACTGTGCGGAAACCCCGCGTGTACGCCGCGAGGTCGACCGACTGCCCACGAGCAGTGACGCTACGAATCCTTCCGCAGAGCATCCAGCTGAACAGCTTACACAAGGCTGAGAGGATTGCGATTGGGCGGCAGTTTGAAGGTAGCGTGGGCTTTCCTGTCTCTTATAGGACAAATATTCGAGATGGCGCCCACTCCTTGGGGATATCTTGCGATGGCTTTAAGATTGCGTTGAAGGTCTCCAGCACGAGGTCCCGCAGCACGCGGCCTTCAGCCTTCAACATTTCTGCGCATTCTTCACCTGCCAGAACGCGTTGTGTAGCTCGCCAGGGGTAAAGACTGACACTCTGTCGTTCTCAACTGTCTCGTACAAAGTGTCCCTGTTCCCTGCCAGATATCCGAGCATATTTCGAACAGGGCCTCCATGCGTATGGCGCATTGACCATGCATCGATTATGCTTTTGTTTGGATTGTTGAAGCATCGCCCATGCGCCTGAATGCGCGCGGCGCGTCGCCGACGCGTCCACGATGCGGGACATTCCTCCGACCCCATCTACTCGGACCCCATCTGGGAGACCAGTCCCTCTGCACTCCCCTCCCTCATGCCCCCTGCTCCCCCCGAAGCTAGAGGACGAACCCCTCCCACTCCCCCGGTCCGGTCCAGGGAAAACCAGCCTTGCCCTCATCCTCCGACTCTCCCCTCCCTCGTGCCTCATGCCCCCCTCGGCTCCCAGCGGAGGCTCCCGGCTGAGGCCCCCGTGCAGCACGGCGCTGTGGCTCCAGGGAGGGGGGGGGGCTCGAGGGCCGGATGACGCTGCGCCGAATGCCGTGGAGGCCAAGGCCTCGTCTCGACTGAGCGCTGAGCGGGCCAGGGGGGGGTGGGAAGGACGACCAGCGAAGGCCAGCGCGGCGGGAGGTATCCGCGCACGGCTCGTGGCTCTGGAGGAAGACGTTGTACCAGGCGGTGAAGGTGCGCACGCTCAGCCGCTCGCCGAACGACACCACCCAGTCGCGGGTGCGACCGGACCTGAGTCGTCGTGGAGGCAGCTGTGACGGGTTAGGCTCTTGCAGGCACTCTCCACTCTCACTGCCCCCGCCCAATCCGATCGCAGGCGAAGAGGGCGATCGTGGGCGAGCAGAACTCGGCAACCTCTACGCCGCGTACTGCACCACCATGAGCACTTCAGTGGCCACTGCCAGGTGCGTTCCGCGCCGCTTGAGACGCTACTACCTTCGCGATCCCGCGCGACACCCCACGAAGTTGGCCCAGACAGCGAAGCGCGATTCCCTTCGCGCCCCTGTGGGTGGTGCTCGGCGAATTCGGGTCGTGACGACTTTAGCTGTAGTTTCTAACACTGCGTGGGTCGCTCGAACTTCAGCGATCGCGCTCTCCCGATAGCGCAGGTCGTTCGAGGCCGGCCGGCTCCAGGCCTCTGGCGGCATGCAGCCGTGAGCACCCGCGCTGGGGTCGCCGTCGGCACGATACGAACCTGCTGAATTCGCTGGCCCAGGCAGCGAAACGCGACTCCTTTCGCGCCCTTGCGGGTGGTCAGGGAGATCGGGGTGCTGCCGATGAAAAAAGATAACAGTCTCGGCCAGTCGGTCGCCGCCAACCCCTGAGGGAGACATCTCTGCAAGGCTTGCCGCTCACTGAACGATCGCACGGAAATCGCTACTTTCTCGCCGCTCTTGCGCGAATGCACGAGACTCTGAGCTCCTGGGGAGGCTACGGACAACTGGAGGGATGAAGATATGCGGCGTGGTTGCTGGCAGAAGGTCAGCTGCGGAACACCCGTGAACCACCACTCTAAACACCATGAGCCATGAGACATCAAAAGGTGAACGAAATCCTGGAACAGCATCGCTTGACACCGTGCTGGTTGAGTGTACCGCCCCTCCCCAGCCGACTCCTTGCTCCCCCTGGAAGCTCAAGTACGCAGCCAGAACTCCCTGAGCAAGCCAGACCGTGGTCGCTCTGATAGGCGTTCGTGGCCTCGGCCTCCCCATTCGACACCACGTATGCGAATGGAGGAGCCCTCGAAACATATTCGCCATATTCGGCAGCGAGCGAGGGGGGAAAATGAAAAGGGGCGGGTCTTCTCAGAAGGCTCGCAAGTCCTGTGGCCAAACAACTTATCAGAAGGACCGAAGGCTTCTGATAAGTCCCGCCGTCTTCTGACAAGGCCTTTTCCTTCTCACTTCCCTCCTCGCTCGCCGCCGACGCATTGCGCCAGCATGGGTCGGTTGAAGGTCCTTCTCGGTGGTCGGCCCAGAACTCTGTAGGAAAAAACACCATGTGGGAAAAAACACGCACGATGGGAAAACACACACAGACTATGTGTTTTGTTCCCACAGGCTGCGTTTTTCCCA